GGAACAATAATGATGGAGGAGGTGCTTGGGAGCTTTAGACCATTGTTTGCGCACAGGCACCTGAACGAATCGTGTAAGGCAGGGAATGGGACAAGGCCCGACGACGGTCGGGGGAGCGGGGGGGGATGGCCGAAGCGGGAACACAGGGATGGGTACGCCTCCCGCCGCAAGCAAAACTCCTGGCTATCTTTCGGGGACTTCTCTTGGGCGCCAGGAGGTCACGCTTCGGGTTCCGACTGAGAGGGGAGGGGCAGAGGCCGGGTTCCGACGGGGGCGTTGGATTCAGCCGCGACGTCGGTGCGTATGGAGTCCAGCTTGTATCTTGGAGCGGCGAGGGCGGGGTTCCCAAAAGGCAAATGGTTGGGCATTCGATCGGGTGAGTGTGTCTCCTGACGTAGGGCGCTTGCGAGGACATGCACATTGTGGGCCGTCTGCCCGACACCACCACCACTGCTACACCAGGCCCGCCTGATCTGTGATGAAGCCATACCGTACAAAAGCGACCGCGCCCGCCAGAGCATTGCCAGAGGCCCGCCGCCCCTTTTTTTTCCGCATAACAGGGATGGTGAGAAATAAACCCTGTCCGCTTCCCTCCCGCCGTGAAGAACGAGGGTCCTGAATGAGTGAGTGAGTCGCGGCTTGATGTGGAAACCGATATTCTCCATGCCGACGGAGGCGATGCATCGGCGATGCGGGGCGATCCTCGGATCTCCTGCCCGGACCCCGCTTGGGAAGCTTTTGAGGAAACGGGGCTCTGAACCCCAGGACTGTCTCTTCATCTTGAGGCGCCTCCTGACGGCGCCGCGGCCCGTAGTTGGCCCCAGGGGGCCCGACAACTGCGGAACAGAAATGCACGACCCGCTTCTTCGCAGACGCGTTTTCTTGAGTTCGTAGTCGTTTTGGGCTCAAGCCATTCTGGCTCAAGGTTGGTTAAACTGCAGGGCGGGCCAGTCAGTACACAAGCCGCCTTGCAATCGGCCCCCGACCCTAAGGCACATGTGGCCGCAGTGTTGCGGTAGGCCCGAGCAGAGTTGGGAGGATGTTTTCGACCCGGAGGAGACGGCGAGGGACAATTATTGTGAAAGTCTTCCCGAAGGGGATAGCTACAAGTAGCGGCGTCTTCAGTGTAATCGATGACGTCGCAAAAAGGATAAATCAAGGAGTTTGCATCGCAGCTTGAGGGCAAGGCGCGGCAGGACGGGCGCTTGCTTCATTGGATCAAGTGCTTTTCGCACCAGGAAGCAGCAACGCGAGACATGGGCAACGTTCTCTGCAGTCCTGTATTCCTGGTCAAACCACAGGAGGTATCCGACGTCGTCAGCCAGGTCGCCGGAGCAGTAACACATTATTTGCATTGGAGGGCAGTGGGTTCCAGTCGCAGTTACCCCACCGTCAGCACCACTACAGGCACTTGGTGGAGACACACGGGCTGCCGCAGGTGGCGGACAAGAGTGCGCCGTTCCACGCCCAGCTGAACCCAGACCACCAAAAGGCTGAACTCGACCCTTGATATGGAAGGGCGAACAGGTGCTTTTGGGGGGACCACAGTTACAAGCCAGACGGAACCTTCGCCCTCGTGGCGACCCAGGCAGGCGTGACGATCCAAGCGCACTGCGAGCAGCAGGAAACCATGGAATTGGCCCTCTGCAGCACGGGAGGGCGCTGCTTGGCAGGCAGCTGGCGGCAGCTGTTCGACCAGCACGCATGGAACGGGCATCCACTTCGGCCCCATGTGCACTTTCGCGAAGTCCTGGGTCGTAGTTGCACTGCGCATTTGGAAGTGCAAACCGAGCAACGTGGCGCGTGCCGCCGAGCCTGACGCAGAAGGAGTCTGCATTTCTCGCATCGAGCCTTCGGATGGCATCACACACGCGTCAAAATATTCAGACAATAACATCACGTTGATCTGGTCGAACGAGGCGTTCAACACTGTGAGCGCTAGCTTTGGAACTTGCGGTGTCGTGCGCCCTCTTGTTCTGGAGGCATTTCAGTTCCAGTAGCTGAAGAGTACTGCGAGGATAATGACATGGAAGGCGGCCTTGGAGGACCTCAAGGCGAAGACACCTTGTTTAGTTACCCCATGGTATTCAGTACCTCTGGGGTCCGTGCGAGAGGGATGGGGACCGCGGCGCCGTTGATTTGCCATGGGAAGCCGCACGGGAGCCATCGGTGAATAAAAAGACCGTGAATGCGGCGTTGAGTGGGACATTGCACGAGCATCAATGGTATTACCCACGAAGCGGTTCAATGTATATTCACAAGGGTGGCAGACATGCAGCTTGTGTGTGAGATGACAGCGCGCGTCTCCACCCCCCCCCCCCCATGGATCGCACCATTGGCGAAGCAGGCCCCGCAGTCGCATGTCAAGTTCGGGCGACGCGATGGGGAAGCATTACAACGTGCTCGAGCTCCACGCCGCCCAGAACGCGGGCTTCGCCACCGAGCCGGGCTTCCCAGCGCGCGCGAACGTGGATATTGGCGGCGAGAACACGCCGGAAATCCTGCCCCCATGTAATAGCTGACCCTGGTCGCCTGCATCCGCTAGCGGCTGGGC